GAAGGGGGATTGAGAAGGAAAATGAAGTAGCATGGGGCAGGAAGAGGCACGAGGAGAATCAGAGGAGAATAGAGATGGGAATGCTGCAATTGACACCAACCAGCCTAGCCCTCTTTTTCTTCCTTCACCTGCCCATTGCCATCGACCTCCCTGGGGCGGGGGAAGCGGCATGAGACTACTGAACGCAGGCTGTGGGGGAGATAGACCATTGTGGTCTTTTTGAGTTTATACAGTTCGTTTGGGCTGGAGTGATAGCACAGCGGTAGGGTGTTCGCCTTACAAGCGGCCAACATGGCCGACCCGAGTTCAATTCCTCCGCCCCTCTCGGAGAGCCCGGCAAGCTACCGAGAGTATTCGATATGCCAGACACGGTAACAACAAAGTCTCCAATGGAGACGTTACTGGGCCCGCTCGAGCAAATCGACGATCAACAGTTCGTTTGAGTTGGAGCCACACCTGGCAATGCTTAAGGCTTACTCTTGGCTCTGCTCTCAAGAGTCACTCCTGGCAGTGCTCGGGGAACTGTATGGGATATTTAGAACTGATTCTGGGTCAGTTGCATGCAAGGCCAGCACCCTACCTGCTGTACTATCTCTCTGGCCTGCATATGGTTTATTATATTTGTCTACTGTTTTGAGGATAAGAATATAAGTTTTGAGGCCCCACCTGGAACTGCTCAGTGATTACTCCAGGCTTTATGCTCAAGGATCACTCCTAAGTGGTTCTTGGGGGACCATGTGGTACTTGGGATTGAACCTGAGCTTCGTGCATACAAACATGTGCCCAGCCCATTAAGCTTCATCTGGCCCAGCCCCTATTTTTTAAAAAGGCATGTTAGAATTTTTGGAAAACATTTCAGCAATATTTTAAAATTCTTAACTCTTTTTTATGATCTAATTAACACAGAAGAAGAAAAATATCATGATAACTTATGTTATGTTTAGCCAAATATCTAGGTATATTAATGTTAACATATGTATGTGACTAGTAGTACTCTTAACATTTACTACCAAAGGTATATGCTGAAGGACAGTGTTTTTTGTTTTGAGAACTATGTGAAATTTTGATTATGAACAAGAATATGAAAATAAATCTGAGGTTATGATTGACGTTAAAATTATCTTACCTAGTTATTACAAGAGAATTTGGTAATAAAATTTAATAAATTCTTGTTAATTACATTAGTAAATTCACTAACTTGGTAAAGAGCATTAGGAATGTGGTGACCATGATAGAATTTAAAAAATAATTGATGAGTTTAAAAAGAAAATAGTTTTGGGGATATGATTCAATGGTTACAGTGTACAATTTGCACATGGGGCTCTTGAGTTTGATACTCTGCACAGAAAATACATGAAAGGAGAGAAAGCCAGAGAGACAGTACAGTGGGGAAGGCACTTTTTGCCTTGAATGTGACCAACCCCAATTTGATTTTTGGCAGTATTTATGTTTTCCTGAGCAACACCAGGAGTGATCCGCGAGAATAGCCAGTAGTAAACCCTGAGTACTTCTGGGTGTAGCCTAAAAGGGGGTGGGATAAGGAAAGAAAAGGAAAAGGGTCGTGAATTAACTTAAAAATGGTAATATATTGATACTGGTGTGATGCATTAAGCACTTTGGGTGGGGTGTAGTAACTTTGTACATTAATGTGATATGTGTTGACAGTACCGATACATATATATGTATATATGTATATATACATTTATATAAACTAATATAGTAAATTTAAAAAATAAGTAAACCAATAACTGTAGCTTAATCTTGAGAAAGAATACTACTGAAAATGATTAAGGCAAGGTATATAAAGAACCAAGTCTTTCTATTTATATTACTTGTGACCTCCACCTTCCAATAATTGCCTTACAATCGATATTACCTTGCAGTCATCATGAAACTTGTTTACACACATATTTGAATTAAATCAAAGCTATCAGAGTGCCTATCAGTTAAATAGCCTCTAAATTCTATAGAAATATATAAGCCACAGAGATAACAACATTGTAAATATGATGCCTAAACTCTAAATACCAAACTGAAAATTGTGCCTGTTCAGAAGACAGGCTGGTGGCTGGGAAAGGCAAGACAACACTGGAGGGACGACTGGTTTCAGAATATTATATCTGGAATCTATTATGAACAACAGCACAAATCACAGTAACTTCACATAGAAATAAAAATTAGGAACAGTATCCCATTGCCTAATTTTTATCCTTTCTATTCCAGAGAGAAGTTAATGACCAAGACTCACTGCCTCTTATTTTTCTTTTCTGAGACAATAAAAACGTTAAACTTTTTGAATGGTGGTGGGAAAATTCGAGCAACATATAATGCCCAACAAAAATGCATCTGGACTGTAGAGTAAACTATGGTGTCATGTCACCCTGGGAGAGGAAGGCTGTTTGTCCCTCTGCCTTTTACCTCTGGTGGTGGTGGCATGGTGGCCACTATCTTTAAGAGCCTAATGGACAGCCAGGTATGAGACTGCAGTGATGAGGCACATGGGGCCTTATGGGATGGGGGATGGAGCCGGCCCTGCTTCCCACCCTGACGGGGCCCCGAGTTGCCACCCATGAATATCTCCTCCGGCTCCCGAACGGCCACGATCCCAGAGGCACAAAAACCAATCTCAGAACCCAATGGCTTTTGGCAATAATTCCTCCAGACTTATTACTAAACTATCAGAAATCCAAAATCGCACAGCCTTGATAATGGCCGTGCAACATCATATACTCTTCATAATCAGCAGTAAAAAACAAATTTCTCTAATAATGCCTTTTTGGCAGGTCTGATTGTTGGGGAAATTCCAAATAATAATGGTGGATCTTTTGTCGTAATATTGAATGTGATCAAAATAGAGAGAAAGGGTAAAGAGGAAATCTGCCACACAGGCAGGGAGAGGGGTGAGGGGTTATACTGGGGTTTTTGGTGGTGGAAAATGTGCACTGGTGAAGGATGGGTATTTGATCATTGTATGACCAACCGAGACTTAAACTGGAAAGCTTTGTGGCTGCTTTCACGGTGATTCAAAAAAAAAAAGTTAAGCTTTGGATTATATGTTAAGTTCTTGAACAGGTGAGTAACTTTCTCTTACACTAGTCCTTCTCTTTCCCAGGAAGGTTGAGAGGAGGAGAGGCAGCCACAAGCCAGTTGGCAAAGTGACACTCTGCGATGCTGCGAATTATGAGGTCTAGTGACAACCATAGCTTCTGCTTCTGTTCCCTAAAAGTTCCCATTCTTCCTGCTTTCACAGGCAATAAGTATTCATTCTCCCCAGAAGCTTTATAGAATGCCTTTGCTTAAACTTTTAAAATATTGTTTTTACATTTTTCTAGTTTCTTCAGAAGGACTAACCTTTAAAGGCTACTTGGTTAACCTTTAGAGGCTACTTGGTAGAGGCCATCATGGCAGACAGTCTCAATTAGATATGTGATCAGATACAATAAGAACCACAACTGGACTCCATTTGTACCATACTGGATGGGAAACATTGAAGTAGCTGGGAGAGGAAAGTGTTCATAAAGAATTTTCACAATTCATCTAGGGGAAAGACACATGTGGGACATGAGGATAGTGTGGGAGGCCAGTTACCCGAGATGAACAATAATAGAAGAGGCTTGCGTGAGCAGCTCGGGGCCCGTGGGGAGATGCTACCTAGAAGAATACCTATGATATTACTTTAGATAATGTTTGTTATTTTAGCTCCTGCATATCTGAAGAGGCATCTCGAGAGAGCCCTAAAGGACAGACCAACTACTGTATCATGGTTTGGCTAATTTTGAGGATCAAGATTCAAGTTTGGAGGTATTTCTAAGATGGCCAATTAGTTCATCCAGGCACAAAGGCCAACCAAAAGTAGACTGGGAGAGAGCAGAAAGAGGTGACTTCTTCCAGGGTCATCTAATGGAACTGGAGGCACTCCCAGTAGTGCTCGATGATTCCCAGCTGAGTGGTAAGGCCACACATGGCAGAAACTGTGAGGGTGTGCAGTGTGAGGAGTCAAACGTGGGTCACAGGTATAGGAGGCACCTGTTTCAGCCTTTTGGGCTACTCCCCAGGTATTATCTATTCATTTTTATTCACATTTATCTTTTTAAGTGTTCATATTATATTTACACATAAAATGTATCTATGTATTCTATTTGGGAGTATGTTCCATTATTTCTTTGCTATGGTTGATTTAGAACTGTTATAAGTACCGGTTTCCAGGACTGCAATTTCATGAGTTATACAGAATTCCCTTTGGAATTAAAATAAAATTAAACTAATGTTTTCAAGTCCTATAAATTCTAGACATAACTCTTTTCTTTACACGTTTGCTTTTCTTGCATATTTGGACACAATTGATGACAACCACATCCAGTTTTAATTTATATATTCTGTAAAATGATCACTATGTATATGTGTCTATTTTTTTTATAAATTGATGGGGACAGAAAACTCAATAATGACTTACATGTATTTTATTCCTTAGAAGCAGTATCTATCCCGATATTATTACCAAATACTTAAAACACAAACATTGTGTAACAGAACTTCTTAACTATTATTTTTATTCTAGCAAAGAATTATCTCATCTCCAAATGAATGCAAACTACAGAGAAAATGAAACAGGGGCAATATCAAAACAAGAGGAGAAAAGCAAGAGGCTCTGAATTTCTCTAGAAGAAAGCAACATCCAAATGTTGTGTGGAGAAAATTCAGTCCTGATGTGGGAACTAGTGTGATGGGTATAGAGAGCAAAGGTTATGGTAGTTGTCAAGAAAATTTTGTTCAGTAGGAACTCTGGCAAGTGATATGAGTCTGATAAGGCATTAAGGTTCCAAGGAAGCTTGAGGGCCCCAACAGTAGGAAACAACCAGGAAGGGCTTGAGGAATACACAGAAGGGAATAGTGGGAGGTATCTGGCTCTAAGAGAATCAGTTATGAAGCTGCTTGTAACTGATAATCTAATCATGTTTTCATTCATCCCTGAAATAGCTTAAATAAGAAAATAAAATTACCTGTGATGTCCTGAATACCGTGGACCACGGATATGGCCTATTCCTCGGCACCCTGGAGTAGGGCAAACAGGTTGACCTGGAAGTATTTTCACAGCATTTGCGCCTTCAGGAAGTAAAAGAACAGATCTTGAAAATATTCTCAGTAAAAACAAAAACAAAAAACAAAGAAGACTAATATATGTAAATGATATTCATTGAGACTTTACAAATTAAAAACAAACACCACTGGAAAAAAGTTATTGAGTACTTGTGAGCTTTTATAAAATAATTTAGCAGAATATATCAGGGATGTAAGTGATAACACTAACAACAACTACTACTGGAGACTGAGAAAAATGAAAAGGTGAAAGAAACAGATAAAAGAACATTCACTGATTCATTTCAGTAAATAATACCTGCACAGGAAATATGGCCATGAACTGAGACAGTGAGAGGATGAGCTCTGTTTTGTGGCTCTACATCATCTTCCCCTATCCCCAAATTCTGGACAAAAAATGAGTTAGCAAATGGGGTGTGGCAAAGAGAAAATAGGATCCTACCCAGGTTTACTCATGCATCTGTGAAAGCTAGAGGAAGAACTGGTCCATGCATAACATAGTGTATCATACCGCATCTGTACTATGCATTTCACATCATAGCGTACGTAATGCCAGGTCTCAGATGAACTGTCCTATTCCAAAGGCAATTCATCTGTATAGATTACCAGTATTAAAATTCCTCTTGCCAGATCTGCTTCACTTTCCAAGATCTAATTTAATCTGCTTGTTCACGAGGACAGAGGCACCCTCTTCATTTTTCAAGCTGTTAATATCACATCCCTAGGATTGGCAGAGTAGTAAATGTCTCCTTTCAACCCAGGATCTTTTCTAGAATATTTTTCTTTAATAATTTTTCATATTTTCTGAAGCTTACTACATAGGGCTTCATCGCTATCAGACGCTGTTCTTGCGTCTGCTTCTGTCATCTTACAACAACCAGGCTCACTCTGAGCTCCTGTCTCCTAGTTCAACCATAACCTCCATCTCCACAGAGTAGGCTGGAACACTGAATATGCTGCCCACTCACCTCATGAATCTATCTCGCACACAAAACCCCTCTGGGTCTTATATCACCTCAAATAGAATTCCAAAATCAATATGCAGACTACCGACTGGATGAAAAATAATATTAAGATCAGAATGCTTGCTAGCTTGATTATCTCAACAGTTGATGATGTTCATAGCATCACTGTTATTCCTCTACTTTTTTCTCTCCTTTTATTATCATTAATTCCCTCTCGTAACTCCCTTCTTAAATCTTAAAACAACTAGAATTTAGACCATTTCCTCTCTGAGTTTTTATCACACGTGGCTTAAGGACAAAAAAAAAAAAACCTGGATCAATTGTACCATATTGCTGCTCTGAGTTCTGCATAACTACATCCTCACGTGGAAAGTAATTATACAACACTGCATATCATATATCACCAGAACCATCTTAAGCATTTTCTGAGGCACTCTGTACTCTTCCACATCTCCACTAACTTCCATTCCTCAACACTCTTAGCAGGACTTTTATTTTGATGAAATGTCACCTCTGACACTTTTTCATTGCTCATCCAAATACCATCACTCACCCTCCTTCTGTTCTATCAGAATGAACGGAACATTTTCCCTGCTCCAGTGAAAAATCATTCACCCTCCCAACCATCTTCCATTACTCAACATCTTAGGTTACTGTATATTCTAATCACTCCTAGACTATTTGAGTGTTTTCTACCAGTGTTCCAACATACTAGTTTTCCCCAATAAAAAAAAAAAAACTAAAGAGAAAATCTACTTAGAACCCGCATTCCTTTTTTAGCTACTTACTCTTCCCTTCACACCCACACTTCGCCAAGAAGTAACCTTTATTTCCTCACATCTCATACTCACTGACACCTTCAATCCTGCCACAGATTAATGACCACTTTCTGTTGAAATTTACTTATTTAGCTTTTTGGGCCACACCCGGCATTACAAATGGGTTACTCTTGGCTCATGCACTTAGGAATTACTCCTGGTGGTGCTCGGAGGACCATATGGGATGCTGGGAATCAAACCTAGGTTGGCCGCATACAAGGCAAACAGCCTAACCTCTGTGCTATCGCTTCAGCCCCGATTAATGACCAGTAATGACCAATAAACTGCATTAACTCCCTTTCCTCATTTTGCCCCACCCTTACATCCATTAATATTTTTATCATGACCATTTATCTTTATATTTAGCATGACCATCTATCTTTATCACTAAAGAAAAGAAATTGGCCTAATCCAAGTCATCATCATCATCTCCAATGCGAAGAATTAATAGACTTTATTTTATTTCTTGCCATCTTTTGTCCATCTTGTAACTACAATGATCTTTCAAAACACAAATCTGGGAGTTGAAGATAGTATAGCATAGTACAGATTGTATAGTTGGGTGTTTGTCTTACATGGGGCCAACTGGGTTCAATGTTCAATACCAGGTACCACATAAAGTGCCCGGAGTCCCGCAAGTAGTGATCCCTGAGCACAGAGCCAGAAGAAAGCTGTGAGCATTGTGGGTGTGGGCTTCAAATATCAAGTTTAAAGAAAACAACAACAAAAAGTCTCTTTTGGGGGGGGGGGTTTGAGGGTGTCACAACCTGTGGTGCTCAGGGCTTACTTCTGACTCTGTGCTCAGGGATCACTACTGGCAGTGCTTGGGATATCTTATGTGGCACCTTGTTCCAAACTCAGGTGGGCCTGTGCAAGGCAAGTGCTTTTATGCTCTACTATCTCTCTGGACCAGCCTTTATTTTTTTCGTTTTTCAGTGGCTTCCATTGTTGTTTGGATAAAATGTAAATTCTTAGCCTGGCAAGGATTCTGATTCCTCTCTAGACCCTCAAATACATCTTCTTTGATTCTTCTCTTTATGTAATATTCTGAATCCATACTGGCTTTTTACTTTACCTTCAAGCTACGGGTCCTTTCACAAATTGGTGTATTTTATGTTGGAATAAAATTCCTATTGGTCTAAATAATTCCTAGATAATCTTTGTACGTCATAGCATATACTTTCTCAGAGAATAGATAATGTCATAGTAGATAGACTAGATAATTATAGCTTCATATTGTCTTAGAGTTATCATAGGTAAATTAGGTAAGTCATAAATCATTAGATAAGTCCTGGACTTAATCCTAGACCAGGATAGACTATATAACCTTATACTAGATAATATTTTAAGTTAGTGCTTACTTTACATCTTTAGGCTAAATCTTAGGAATATTTTAGCTTCTTATTTTATACAACATTTGCCTTAATTAAAAACATAATTAGGGGACAGGATTTTTCAGTACAGTGGATAGAACTCTTGCTTTGTATGTGCTTAACTAGGTTTGGTACCCAGCATCCCATATGGTGCCCCAGTTTCTCCAGGAATGATCCCTGAGCCACATGTAAGCCCTGAGCATTGCCAGGTGTGGTACCCTAAAATACCAACACAATCAAATGATTATTTGTTTAATCTTTCTTTTATTAGAGTATAAGCTATGAGCCTGCATGCATCTCACTGTTGTGTCATTAGTACTTGATGGAATTGAGTATTCCATAGTTGGTCTTCCTTCAAGATGCCACAGTGTAATAGTCTTACATACAAACCAGAAATTTGTATAATAAGAGTATGATTATTCTGAATTAAAATACTGGCTGGAGTTGCATTCTAATGTGTAATGATATCATGCAACTATTTACAACTCAAATATATTTTTATTAAATTAACTGAACAATAAGAACGTATGACTTAGATACTTAAAATGCTCTCAGAACTTTGAAAAATACTGAGGGATAAAAAAAAGATATAAAGGTGCCCTATTAACGGTAGTCTTAAAGGAAAAAAATTAAACAAATTGGAATGTATAATTAAAAATGCAAATAAGGCCCTAGGTAAAAACTATACAGTGCCAGTGAGTAAATCAAATGGAGCTATAAGAAAAGAAATAAACAAAAAATATAAAAATGTTTCCAAAACGTACTTAACATTAGAAAGACCACAAAGGTCTAAAATATAAAATCTACAGACCAACTAATGAAACAGCTGATACTCAGTCAATCAACCCAGGTTTAATCTGATGTGGACATTATAGGAAACTTACAGTGACTATTACTTAGTATTTATTTTGTTAATAAATTGTTGATTAAATCATAAATATTTAAACATAGTTAATTAATAATATCACCAGAACCTTGGTAGGTGTCATAATTTCCACCCTGTTAGCTCTATAAGACAAAACATCATCTCAACTATCATTAAAAGAGTTATTACATTAAAACCACATCAGTGGATGTAACAAAAAGGAGTCAAGAAAAATACACAATAAAAATGGAAGAAATCAACATTTTCCTCTGTAAATTTCGTATGATGAAGTTCAATAGTTTGCTCAATGGTGAATTAGACAGGCCATTACCCATTACGGAAAAGAAGCCTGCAAATTCTAAGGGAACAATGATCAAATCAGCGATTTTCCCTTGAAAATAACTGTATTTTCTGTATTTTCCCCTATGAATACCTCACTTAGAAATTCAGAAAATTAGGTTTCAAGAGAAAATGCCCTTAGTTTGAACTCACTGCCCTTGGAGATCATCCAGGATCATATTATCTTTTCTTGCCCTCCTTATACCACTTTATCTGAAATTATTTTCCTAGTTAATCTATTTATCAGTTATCTTCCTTCACTGCAGTGAGCACACTGATCTCATCTAATTTATTTACCACTATAGCCCTAGCAGCTACTAGGGCAGTGTTTGGCACATATTGCATTTTAAAATGAATAAATAATTATAAAGACAACATTTCTAAGGCTTATTTTGGAATATCCTGACTACAAAGCTGTGAGATAATCACTATTTTGTTCTCATTTCGGAGTTTAGCTAAAATTAACTTCTTATTTTCTATTTCTAAATACTCTAGATAAAGCAATATGAATAACTCTTAATTTAAGAATTTAAAAATAGATATAATGGCAGTTTTCTTTGTAAGGAGGGCAAAAAAAAAAAAAAAAGAAAATGTCGAAAATCATTCCAGTAACAAAAAGTACCAAGGTTGGCTGGGAAAAACAGTT